AAAAAAAAAAACGGATAATGAGAGAAGGAAAAGGGTGTGACTATTCTGCCTGACATTTCCCCTGAAGAGTGGATGTCCTCTAATAAATGCAGTGCTCTCTCAGGAGTGTGTCCCATCCCCAGTTCCTCCGATGACATGACATCCTACCACGTTAAATGTGACTCCAGTACTGCAAACTCACGCTGTTTGGTACAACATGGCTCTTAAGTGCAAGCCTTCTGCCCCATCAGCTGCTCAAACATAGAAACGGGTTTTTTCTATTGTTTTGGGTTTTTTTGCATCAGTACTGTACTAAGGGGAAAACATCCTGTTTCGGACTTTTTTTAGAGAAGGGCTTTGCTTGGGTAATTTTGTTTATTTATATTCCTGTTTTACCTTTATGTGCTGATCTAAACCGGTATGCATGTTCCCACTGTAACTTCGCTACTCTCTCACCGACTTTGAGGAGGCGTCGATGCAAATGATGCCCTGAGGAGAGGAGAACGGAGCGTCATTTCTGAGTTTATATTATATGGACCTTATTTTACTATTAGGAATAAAGAACAGCAGTGTAAACTATTTCGCTGAACAAAACACAAAGTATTGAATTCGGTGTCCAAATAGAAATTCTCCTGCCCTAAACCAAATGTTTTTTTGTTTTTAATTTAATAATTGATTTTCCCAGACCAGTGGCATAAATAATTAACATAATATCGATATATCATACAAACCTACTTTGTATCATGTTGTGTCTCAGATCTGTTCGTAATTTATTCCAAGTGTCCTGGGAGGAAAGGAACTACAACACAGAAACAACAGTAATAGCAATGATAACAGCCTCTTGAGCACATACGTGCCCCAGGAATCACGTAAAGCACTTTCTCTGCATCACATTTAATCCTCACGCCTGCGAAGTAGGTGTAGCACCAGACCTGTTTTACAGATGAGAAAACCAGGGCTTAGATAGATGAAATAACTCGCCTGAGGTCTCAAGGTTAATAGGTGACAAAACCCAGATTCAGACCCAAACCCTGAGTTGTAGAAATAGACAATAGTTTCTAAACAATGTTTTTCTCGTTGTCCATCTAAGCTTTATTTGATAGGAATAACTTTGGTCGTGAGTAGCTAGTTGTTGAAAATACATTTGTAAATTAAAAGAAAAAAAATGATCTTTAATCTTTTCTCCCGAGACACTCATCTGAACATCAAAAGAAAAAAATCAGCTGTACAAACAGCCAATAGAGTATGATACCAAAAGGAGGCACTGGGAAGAGTTAATCCAAGATAAATGTCATAAATATGGGATAACATGGATTGTGGACGTTGGCCAAAGCCAGTCTTGACTTCTGTTGACCCACATGTGCTCTTGTTTCACAGCATCCAGCGCTGCTAAATTCTGTGAAATGCTAAATTCAAGAGAGAACAATAATAAAGAGAGGGCATCAAACTGCCCATCAAACCCCATGATGTGTGAAAACGTAATACAGGCACCTGCTACATCACAAGTGTCTTAAGGTCTTAAGATCAGTTAATTACTGTAATAGCAACAGTCAGCAGAATGCCACATTATTTTCAACTGAAATGTCCTGCAGTTCATTTTTCATCCATAGAAATTTAATTTCCTTAACTTCTTTAAGGAAAGTTTTTAAATGCTTGAATATAATCCATGGTAAGTTTTCCCTATTTGCTTCGATAACTTTTTAATACGGTTAGTTGTTACACTGTTGTTTTCCTGCTCCTCTGCGTTATATCAAACCCTTTGATATAAATTCTTCCAATGTCCAGGGTGGTGACTAATTGAGACTGGCTCTGTTACACAGTTATCACTAATTTATTTTTTCAATAGACACAGACACTTTGAAGTATTTAGGAAATATATTAGAGACCATCTGTTCACTAGCAGCATTTTTTTCATACATACAAAGGTACATACGCATATTTGCAGTTTTTGGTTCCAGGATGTTTAGAATTCCCTACATGTCAGTGAGGACCCTTCACAATTTGACTTTAACCTGCGTTTTCGATTTTCATCTTCCATCAGCCTTCAAAAAGAACCTTTTCTTTGTAACTCTAAATACTTACTCCATGACAATTCCTCATACCCAGTCATCCATCACTGTTCCTCCTCACCAATCAGTACACCGTTGTTCTTTGCCTACAGTGAGTTTCCCGCCCATTTGCCCAACTGCGTGTGTGTGTGTGTGTGTGTGTGTGTGTGTGTGTATGTGTGTTATACTATTTCTGTATATAAACATTTTGTTTTAAGTAACTTGGTGTCTCTCACAGAACCTACACAGTTCTTGGCACATGGTAGGCACCGATTAGATGCATGTGGCGTGCTAAAGACGGTTTGAGAAGTTTACTTTTACTTTCTCTGATATTGCCTTTAAGAAAACATTTAAATAGCTTCTTAATTGTAAATGCCATTCCTTTTATTAGTTTAGCATTAAAAATCTTGCCCTATTCTTTCTAGAATTGACACTTTAAATTAAAATCAGCATCCTTTACATTTCTACACATATGCACACGTGCACACATGGATTTCTTACTGAGGTTTTTTTTTTTTTTATCATGTTTTCCCTCAGTAATAATGAAGTGAATTTCATAGAAACAAAGTTTTGTTACACATAAACGGTATTCTTAATCCCTCCAAGATAATGCCAGCATGTATGGTATTGAACAGGAGGACGTATGAGACATGGATTCACTTAATGTGTATTCACCCAAACAAAATGATCAGAGTTGTCCCTACTGAGAGACTGACAGCAGTCATACATGTGAAAGACAACCATTAACGGGTACTGATTATTTTTGCATTAAATAGCCCTCAAAAGTAGTAGGTAGCCTTCTGTCAATTTCAGTGAATGCTAAATTCGAGAGAGAATAATAATAAAGAGAGGGCAGTGTCACAGATAACTTCTTTAGAAGCCTTGTGTGAGATAACATAAGGGTGCCTAGCACAAAATAGGTGTTGAAATGTTAATTTGTTCTGTTTCTACTTGATAGTTTAATATTGAACACGATTAATGGGTTGACCCCAAAACAACCCTTGGCTGGGCCTCTCTTCCTCTTTCAAGACGACTTCCTTTGATTCTGTTCCAGACCATTTCTGGAATGAAGTGGTTGTGGAATAAAGTGGTTTGTGGAATGAAGTGGTTGTGGAATGGTCTTTGGAATACACTACAGGTTTTCACAGTCTCTCAAAAAATGTGACACCAAGATCTGAGCACACATCTCAAAATATTAATCGTCTGCCACTGCAGAATTCATTGGGGTTTTTGCCTTCCTAGTGCTAGATGTGCTACCATGTAATAATAACGAGTCATCTTGAGCTTATAGTCAGCAAACACTCCTTCCCTAAAATATGTTCTCATGTAAACTGATGTTTAAGCCAAATCTCAGGAATTTTGTACATTGTGGTCAATTGAAATCCTCTTCACGGCATTTAGTAATTATTTCACCTTTTTTTTTTTTTTATGGGTGTCTTTTTTTTTTTAATTTAAGGACTGGAATTAGCTAACTTTTTCTATTAAAGAATTATGTGTTTATCTCTTTCTAAGCATTTTTTTAAAAACTACAGATTATTGTTTATCTTGCTTTGTGACCAGTGATGCTAATTATTTTTTGTTCATTTTTGTAGTACTGGAGAAAATGAATCTGGGTTTGGCCTATCAGAATGCTTGGCTCTGTGAGAAAACCGCTTTAGACGAGACCTGTGTAGGATGAAGACTTCAGAGTAACAAGCAAGCAAGAGAACATTTAATCTCCAAGATAATCCTGTACCCTAATTGTTACATGGTGCCTGAATTAAGTTTCCTGTGGATGGCATTGCTTAAATATGGTCTTGAAGGGTTTGTTTTGAAATACTGTATATATTTATTTTCAAATGTACACATTGTTAATAAACTAAGAAGTGAGAAGCTTATTCCAGGATCATGTACATATGAGAGGGCACTGGAGGAATTTTATGTTGAAATGTAAAACGCTATAGTTTTTGAGTTTGAAACATCCTTTTTTCCTCATTTCTTCACATCAGGAGAGCAGTTAATTATATGAATTTGGATTAATTGTCTCAGTTTGGAAGGTCTTTTTGTTTTTTCTCTCTTTCCCTTTTTCCCTCCCTCTTCCCCGCCCCCTCCAGTATTTGCTTGTTTTGGGCTAATTTATAATACTTAAAGATTTACATGTTATAGCTCATTTTTTTACAATTCAAGAATTGTGTATGTTTCAAATAAGACATTCAGTTACTCTTATAAATATTGTTTTGTTTTGAAAACTACAGTTCACAATTCTCCCAAGTTGTAAATACATAAAGCAGGACATGAAAATGCAGCCATATCTGGATAACTGGCCAAAAGGAAATAGAAGAGCAGCTTTTAGGATTGAGCCTGGGATATTTTTACATATACATGTAAAGCATAGATTGTCTTTCTGCAATACAATTTTTTTGATGCAAACATAGTTTTCAGAAGATTTTTGAAATACCTCCATTAGACCTGTTAATGTATCCTCTCTGATTTCAGCAAAATTATTTTTTTGGTCTTTTAACACTAGAATTCCCACTAACCTATCTAGCTTTTTGGCCTCGTGGAACTTTGAGGAAAAGGAATGCATACAAATGAGGAGAGCAACACAATAATAATCTTTTCAAATTAGTATGTTGCATAGTTGTGTGACTTTGTTTTGTAAGAAAAAGAATCTAGTTCTTTTGGTGCTGAATACATATTAAATATCAAATGTTAGTAAAGATTAAGAAGTTTAACTGAAGACACATTTTCAGAGACTGACATTAATTGTGATGTCTGTTTGTCACCAAATTCTTATCTGTGAATTTGTCTCTGTAGAGTGGAGCTACCAGCTGGAAAGGAAGTATATAAACAGGAGACATCCTAGAGGAATATGGAATGTGATTTATATAAAACACATATGCAGATTAGAAAAATGGCAAAGATGAAAAGACCTTTGCAAATCTTCATAAGAGAGTTTATGCCCAAACTATCAATAATTGGCAAGCTACATCCTCTGTCTTGCTTTTTCTTTGCTTCACATATTTACATCATTTTTTTTTTCCCCTAGAAGCTTTTAGTCTATTCTCTTTTTTCAGTCCTGTTTCCCTTGGCATGTCTTCCAAAAAGTTTTCTCAAAGCAGCCATCTTGAAAGTTACCTCCCCTACCTTCTGAACTATAACTAATAGCTTTTTAATTGGAATTTAGTAAAGTGGGACTTTTTTTTATACTTGCATCTGCTATAGAAGTTGCCAGATTTATTTTGTAAAGGGCCAAGATGGTAAGTATCTTCAGCTTTGGGGAGCACATGATCTTGGTCACAACTCAGCTCTGCTGTATTAGTAACAAAAGCAACTATGAACAACATGTCAACAAATGGTGTGGCCAGATTTGACCTTCAGAACGTAATTTGTTGATGCCTGTTTGAATTACTATAAGGCAAAACTGTCATCTTTATAAACCACAACACTTGGCATAGATAATAATAGCATGTTTATCGTAGGGCTCTAAGTAATTTTTGGACTCACAGGAAATCTCCAAAGGGCAACCGCTGACAACTAGCGAGGAGGGTTGATCCTAAGAATTAAAAGGGGAGGTAAAGCTTTCCAGGAAGGAAGACAGGTATTGACTGAGGGTGGGCCGTGACTATGGGTTTGCCGAGAATATCCGGCTGTGGGTAGTGAGCCTACATCAGACAGGAATGTGATGGATCAATCTCAATTTCCGTTGCTCATGGCAACCTCTTCTCTCTTCCTATTTCCCCAAATTCCTTTGTTTTATTGTTCAGAGCTCTCTGTCTTCACAGTGCAGTCCATATGTCTCTTTGTCATTGCCGTCCAAATTCATTGACAAGTTCAGTAGTGTTTGAAAACTAAGAAGTTTGCTTTGATTTTTGAGAAATGTACTCGTGAGGACACAGTGCTTTAGTTAAAAAGTGTGAGTACCATGGTCATGTACTGTAAGCATTTAGAGTGAGATTTCTGAGTAGGAGACAAAATGAGGATGGCAGCCACTGAGAAGGGGACTATGGGAAAAAAAGAAGTAAAGTGTGGTTCCCATTCCTAAATAAAGAGTTGATACAACCTGATTTTTGCTATTCTCCGAACACTAAAGTTAGATGCTCCCCAGCGCAGTTGTAGTACAGGGTTTTCAGCTGGGTATATATTGTAATAACAGCAGGCAACATTATGTATAAGCACTTACTATGACAAGTCAGGACTATACCAATTGCTTCCTGTGCCTTATCTCACTATTCTGTGTAACAGTCCTGTGAGGTAGAATCGCCGCCCCGTTTTCTGGAAGTTTAAGTAAAGCAGTTGAATCCTCCGCCCAAGGTTAGGCTGCCAGTGAGAGAGGAGTTGGGGTTTGAAGTTGAGTTATTCAGATTCCAGTGATCATGCTCTTGACCATCAAGTTTTTCTGGCCTTCACTTCTCAGAAGCAACAGTAACAGTCCCGACCTCTGGTGTGGGTATGTGTGTGTGTGCCGTCCATCAGACTCGGATCCCCAAAGAAACAAAGCTTGCGTTTTTTTGGTCATAGACAAGATTACTCAAGGTATAGGCAGTAGTCAGTAAAGTAAATTAAATTTCTGAGAAACTGAGTTGTGTTATTATCCCACATAGTCATACTTGCCTTGAGATGGGAAATAAATCACAGGAAAAATACACAGGCAAAATAGATCTTAGCCATGTAGCTGTTAACCTATAATCACCTTGTACTTTATATTCTTGCTCATCAATCTAACATTGCAATTTTAAAAAAAACTACACCAGATTGGGACTCTTAGGTGGATTTTTTTTACTATATAAATTTCAAAAACAACATAAACTCTATAATTAAATAGAATATATATATATTGGTTTTCCAAAATGAATATTTGACATACTAACACTTCAGTCATTCATAAAGAATGACTACCACCCGGATAGCATCTTAGAACTGAAAAAGGACATTAACTGAAAACTGAAGAAATCGGGCCGGTTGAGTGGCTCAGTTGGTTAAGAGCTCGCTCAAGGGTGTGAGCCCTGAGCAACAGCAGTTCAATGCTCACCTGAGCTGAGCTGCCAACAGGTGGCAGGATGGCTCAGCTGGAAAAAAAAAAATCTAACTAAACAATGGGCTTGATATTTCTATTTAATAATGGTTAAAAAGAAAGAATGAGCAGCCTCAGGGCGGCAAACGCCCCACCTGGATGACTACTTAGAGAAGGTGGACTCCTGCGTCTGAAGATCTTCTATCTGAAATCGTTCTTCAAACCCCTCGTCTTTTTTGACCTTGACGTATTTTTTAAAATGCAAGGAAGCTACTTTGTAGAAAAACCTACAGTTCGGGTCTATCTAATTTTCCTCAAGTTTTATTCATTTTTGGTAAGAATACTTCAGAAGTAGTGCTGTGTTCTCAGGGCATCTTATCAGAAGGCACATGATGTCAATTTGCTCTATTCCTGGTGGGGGTAACATTTTCTTACTTGGATAGGAAGGTGTTTTCCAGCTTTCTCCATTTAAAGTTAGTTTATTTTTATTAGATGCTTATAAATTAATGAGCAATTCGTAAATGTTTTATGAGGAGATACTTTGGAACTATGCAAATATCCTGTTCTTTGCCACACTTTTACCCACCAATTTCAGCACAGATTGATGATTCTTGCCTGAATTAAGTATTACTGTGGTGAAAGCCAAATGGTGATTAAAATAAAAAAATTCTGTTATTCTTTTTACATTTGTTAGTGTTCTATAAGGTGAAGCTCTCTTTTCAACATTAATTGTTTGTATTAGTATGGATTCTGAATCCATATTTTATTTTATTATAAATGCATTCCTATCATTGCTTATTTTGATGGCAAAATTGCCTCAAAACTGACATGTATTCATTCTGGTGCCTATGTCCCTGAATGGCCCCAATTTTCTTAGAGCCCTTTCTTACTTTTTGTCACAAGATGACCCAGGCTTATCTTGTACTTTCTTTGCCCCAGCCCTAGAGTCAGCCTTCTCCAAGGGGTCCCAGGTTTGTTTGTTTTTTGTTGTTGTTGTTGTTTGTTTGTTTGTTTGTTTTGTCCAATTTTACAAGATAACTCCCCAAATAAGGTGTCTGATTTTTCTTATAGAGAAGTTACTGTGGCATCTTGATACTGCCATTTTAAAACTCTGGATTCTAAACGGGGGTGCAGGGATATGATATAAATAAGCTCAAAATAGGTAGAGTAACCTGTATCTGAATGACCCACAGAATTTAACTATTTCTTAAATTCTTGTCAGTTTTAGATCAATGTCACTATCTGCCTTGAGACCACCGGGACTAGTCTTATTATGACCTTTATCTCTTGTTAGTCAGGGACTAGTCTTATTATGACCTTTATCTCTTGTTAGTCACCACGAGAAGCCCAGACCTCCCTAAGTCATTCCTCACACCCCGGTCTCATTCCCACACAGCTTTGTACAACTCCTATGTCCCAAACCTCTGGAGTTTCTTGGGCCATCGTCAAAAGAATCTATGAGTGTCAAAGTTTACCTTCCCTGTTGTAAAACTAGGTGCCACACACTTTAAAAAACCTGTTCCCTCTTTTTAGAAGAAAAACACAAATAAAACCAAGCAACTTAGTTTCTAGAATTCAATAAAATCAACTTTTAAAAAAATCTCAAAGTACATCCTAATGTCTATATACCTTCAGCCCCATTTTCTACACAGCACTTGACTTATGTTCATAATTATGATCCTTTGCAACATTATCGGTCATCAAAGAGAACCAATGTTCAGTTAAATGTACCTGATATTGAATGGTTAGTACAATGTCTAGCTCAAGTTTTGAAGATGAGTATGAGAATGGTTAATTCTCAATAAATAGCACTTTAATTAGAAATTCCTTCACCAACTTTAATTTTCATTTCAGTAAACTGGCTTCTTGATCAAACATTCTCTCTTAAATCTTTAACAAATTTAGCACACAAAACTGAAATTTCACTCCTAGATACCTACCCAAGAGAAATGAAAACATGTCCACATAAAGACAAACGTTCCTAGCATGATTCATAATAACCCCAAACTGGAACAACTCAAATGTCCATCAACTGGTGCATGGCTAAACAAAACGTAACACATTCCTACAATGGGATATTATTCAGCAATTAAAAAAAAGAATAAACTGCAACAACATGGATGAACCTAAAAAATATTAACACTAAGTGAAAGAAGCCAGACACAAAAGATCTCCATTTCCAGAAAAAGTAAATATTGAGAGGCAGAAAACAGATCAGAGGTTGCCATGGGCTGGGGTAAAAATGTGAATTGACTGGAAACAGTCACTGATGGAACTTTATGCAGTTTGGAAATGCCCTAAAACTGGATTTGGGTGATGGATGCACAACACAATATTTGCAAACAGCCATGTTTAATGGAAAGTTTACCACAGTGAGGCTGCTGTTAAGAAAAGATTCAAAACAACTGGAAGGTAGGGAAACTTGCTCTCAGGGAGGCAGGCAGCTGTGGTGGGAGAAGTAGGGAGACTCCACCTGGCCCGGGCCTCCGCCTCCAGGTGAGGCAGCTGGAAGAGGCAGTTCCAGGGCGACTTCCGCTCCAGCGATGCTTCCACCTGGTCTCCCCGTGCTCTTCCCCGGGGTTCAGCATTGGTCCCTACCTCTGCCTGGTGTATTTATCTGCCCTGTTGTGGGCCTCCGAGCCCCTGGCAGACGCCGCCTCCTCCAGTCCTGCTTTCCCAGGGGACAGGACACTGATACCGGCTTTCCTGGGTGGCGGAGGATAAGG